TTGATGTCTAATTGACTCTCTTGGACTGTGTTTTGCCATCTTCGCTCTCTCTTTTTGATTTGACATTTTCAGGCTGTTTCTTGTGATTATAGCTGGATTGTTGATATTTTAACTATTGTATGAATCTTTTTAAAAGATAGTACAGCAATGGGGAGGGCGGTTTGAAGGTGTTCGGCTTCAACAGCCTCTAGAAGTAGTTAGGTGCTGTTGGCCTTTATTTCTAGATACAACTCAATATTGTCCGCTCCATTCCGGCCATTATCATTTGTCACTCTCCGTCTCAAATGCAGTCCAGCTTGGTCCCTAATCCTAGGCACAATGAGTCTTTTCTATCTTTATTGAATGGATGCAAATCTTACTAAATTGGTTTTGTAAGATTAAATAAGATTTAAATTTCATTTCTTACGACAGTGAGTTATTTATCTATAGAAATTTGTTAGACTTAAAAGCCCACTTGTTAAGAACCTCCACCCCCTATTACACTTCCACATCTTTTAATCTTGATTTTTCTTTGTTGTTGTTTGAAGCTTCCATGTTGTTTTAGGGTATCCTAATTTATCTCTTAGGAATAGTTTCCATTTTAATCTCTCATGTCCTTATTCTAATTATTATCAGAAGGATATCATTACAATATACAGAGCTAAGTGCTTTATCTTTTGTATCACATCTTCACCTTAATATCAATGGGATTTCGTTATTACTAGCACATTAAAGGAAAAATTGATGAACATTAATCTCATCGCAATGAAGCTTCTGGAATGTCAGTAGCTCGCCATAAAAAAAAAATCAAGTTAGAAAACAAAATTACTCAGCAAAAGATCAAACAAAGTCCTCTCCTTCTGTTCCTCTATCCTAAACATGGTTCGAATCTGACAAATCATAGACCGAATGAACAAATCCACAAAAGTTACAATTACAACATCACCATCCTCCAACAACTCACGACTTCGTACGAATTGCAGCTCACGTATTGCACTTTAGGGTAGCAGAGATCCCAGAGAAAAAAAAACAAAAGAGAATGGATCTCACCGGATCAAGGTGCAAGAGTAAACCTGTTGTGGCAACCTCCACGCCTCAGATTTGCTGAAACACATATCATCAAGGTCCTCACTGGTGCACCAGCTGCATTTTGAGTTCCTCGAGCACTGAGACTGCGCCACCAATTCTCCACAGTTGTTGGGTTGCTGAGTGTTCCTGGACTCCAACAGGTGCCGACTGGAACCATCCCCGGAAATTCTAGCACCATATCTGGAGAACCCGTGAGAGGATTCGCAGATAGAAGCGTTTAGGAGAAGAAGAAGAAGAAAGGTTGACACCAAAGTGAACTGCTGGTTGAGGGAGAACGCCATGGAGGAATGAAAATCTCAAAGTTTTGAATTTGGTAAAGCTCCCATACAAAGCAAAAATTAGAACTGAGTTTGAAAAGCTATTTTATATTTGACGCATATTTGAATTTTTTTTTAATTTTTCAAAACGAATTTTTCTACCTCTTGGTAGATGTCGTTTTTTTCATTGACGTGACCGGTAAATTTCGTTGAACACAAGAAACCTTGTTTTTGTTTTAATCCAATATATAATAAAACCACAATGCTTTCCATGTAGCGACATTGTATCTGTTTTTTGAGATTATCATCACGAAATAGTTCATGAAATAGTTATTTGTATAAATGGCAAAATATAAAAACTAAACTCAAGCGTTGGGATTTAAAATACGTAGTATATACTTTTATAAAGAAGATTGGTATTCACTTTTTTTTTATCTTTTCAAGTTACAATTTTTAACTGATTTTTTAAATTTAATTATTTTTATAAATTAAATAAATAAAATTCATCTACAAAATAAATAAAATTATATATAATTAAACTGTTAAAATATTTGTATTTGTTTTTATAATTATAATTTTATTTTTAATCATAGAAAAAATACACATGTTTAGTAATTATAAGTTACCTTTTTTATTAATACATTCTATTTTGGTTACCAGGTTAATGTTATTTGTTTACTGTTTAACATATCTCTTAAAAGAAGTTCAAGTTTTTGTTTTATCATCATTTATTCATTTGAGTGACTCGTTCGGTCAAACTTGAATATTACAGTATATTCTAATGCTAAAATCAATAAAGATTTGACCACTAGGATAATTAATCCGTATACACCCAAAGAAAAACAAAGGTAAAGCTGTCAACAATATAATTAATGGAAACCTTACTAGAAAAACAAACCTCTAATTTAAATTTTGACCAGTCAAAGTAAAGAACTATGTGTTTAGGGCTCTTGTTAAAATTTTAGCTTTATTCTATCTTTAATAAAACGAGAATCATCATTTTGTGAATATGGCACATAATAGGAAATTGTGTAGCACCCATGGTGAAAAATATTGCTTAAAGCTCTACACGATAAATGCTCTTTGACTTGGAATTTTTGAATGATGCTCAGTGTTATGAAAACATCGCTCATAGCATGACAATAGAGACACTAAAAATAGTGTTTTAAATTCACCCTTTCCTTTTCTTTACCTATTTCACTAGCATTTTCCCAATTTGTACCAAATTGACCAATCTCACATCTTATAACTCTTCATTCTAATTCTCATATATAAAATATCTAACGAAATAAAGCAAAATAGTACACTCAACAAGACAAATTAATCTAGCTCATGGGTCAAAATATATATCATGCATTACAAAAATTATACCATATCATAAATTTTGGTGTGAAAGCAACCAAAAATAGAAGAAAGTATACATGTACTATATGATAAATGTTAGCTTCTCTCATCTTGTCGTGTTAGATAAATTATATCCCTTTCAAAAGGCTTAAAGATTTCGAGATCTTGTAATGGTTCTATAACATAAAAAAATTTGAATTAGTAACCCAGTTGTTATGTTGGGTTTACATTCAACAAGAAAGACTTTAGATAGTTTTAAAAGTCACATATAGGGTTGGCAAAAATATTCGTGCTTGCGGGTATCAGCGGGTAAAATCCGTTGCGGGTAGTTGATATCCGTGGGTAATAGATACCCGCGGGTAATGGGTAGCGGGTATTTTAATACCCGCTTCTAAATGGGTCGTGTGCGAGTATTAAACTATCCGCTTCACGAGTATTAAACTATCAACCTCGCGGGTACTTACTACCCGCAAAAAATAATAATAAAATATTAAATTTTATTATTTTAAATTAAATTTAATTAAAAATAAATTTAATTTATATTTTATTAGGTTAAATTTAATTTAAATTAAATTTTAATTTATATTTACTTTATTTTATATTATATATATATATTATAAATTTATTTAAAAAATATATAAAATATATTTTTTAAATTTTTTGCAGGTATCCGCGGGTACCCGCAGGTTTTAAAATACCCACAGGTATTTGTTATGCGGGTACCCGTGCAAGTAGCGGACAGTTGTGGATCAGATTTTTTTTTACGGGTCGTGTCGTCGATAGACATTATCCGTGCCCGATCCGACCCGTTGCCATCCTAGTCACATACAAAAGAAGACAAAGGCTTTACGAGTGGAGTGACTCGATGAAAGAAAATAAAGTGTTTATCTTTAACTAGTTTAGGACATATCCAAGACAAGGAGATGAGGTTGAAATTTTTTTTTTAATAAACTAGAGCAAAGAAAAATATTTTGAATGTAAGAGCAAGAAAATTTCAGTTTAATTTTAAAAGAAGAAAAAGAAAAAGTTTTACATTAGGTAATGTTATAATTAAAAAATTGTTAAATTTTAAAAAATGGTTAAATTTAAAGAATTAGTCACTTAAAAAATAAAAATAATAAAATAGTTATTTTAATTATAAAATAAACTTTTATCTAAAAGATAAAATTAAAAAAATAAATATGGACACACAAGAAGAAAATCTCCTTGTAAATGATAATAAAAACATTTTCTAAAATAATCTATTTATTTTTGTCTGGTTTTTGTCCATATTATTTGTTTTCAAAGCAGTGGGTGAGTGCTTTAACATTTTATGAATATTTTAGGATGCCTCAATGTTTTCGCGGTAATATATATGCATATATGTAAAAATATAATTTTTCAATTTCAGATTCAAGAGAAGAGAAGTTTCTCTTCTAAGCACATTCTTAATATAAATATAGTAAGGACGAACTTTAACTAGAGGCTACCTAATTAAATTAAATTACAAACCTAAGAGAGATAATAACCCCATCTAACGAGTTTAATTTGTCATCTCCAAACATTTTCCTTTTATTAAACTTATTTATAATACGAATTTAATTGTTGTATCCATTTGAGACCATGTGTTTGGACAGGTAACTTGTTGGGAAACTGGGTGGAGAATGCCTAAATTCCAGGAGTTTCAGGCTGTTTCCTTTGCAGAAAAAGGAGTTGTTTCTTAACAAACTTCTTGGTCTCCGTTACAACCTTGCACCCTGTTGGTTTCTTTCCGGTCTTCTGTTTAGATTTTTGTTTTTCTGTCAGAATTTAATTTTCATATTTTATTACTTTATTTTTAATATAAACAGTTGATTAAAGAATTTAAGATGTACTGTTTAAAAATTATTATTCATGTATTCATTTGAATAACTTTCTGTTTTCATTTATTATCACTGTAAAATGGTTAGTAAAAAGAAATTTCAAAAATAAATTATTATTATTTCTTTAAAAGGGTTTTATTTTAACACTTTATTGTTAAAATGGAGACCAATAAAACTAAAAAATGTAGGTGACATGGAAAAAATTATGCTTTTCTTTACAGTGCCTTTATTATACTTTTGTCTTTGAAATTTAGTTTTGATTTCTTAAATTTAAAAATAGTTTTAATTTTAAAAATTGAAAATATAAATAAAATGGTTTTTTAATTGAAGAAATGAAACCAGTTTCACTTCAAATTTTAAATTTTAAAAAATGAAAAAGATAATAAGTTTTTAAACTAAAAGGAAAACTAAAACGAAATAAAAATAAAATACGTGGATAAAATAACAGTGGCAAATAAAAAAAATACAACGAGGATAGGAAACTCGAAAATATAATATTCAGGGCTGCACGCAAGGGAGACGTAAAAACCTAGGGGGAGCTCTGTTTTGATCACACGCCATTGAAGCTCTAATTCCAATTCTATCATCAACCCTTTTCGTCTTTCCTCTCAGATTTTCGTTCTTTTCCAATTCAGTGGTGCAAAATTTTCTTTTTCTGATAATAATTGCAGATATTATACGCACATACATGCCCTATTTTGGTTTTTGTTCTAGGTTTGCCAATGGAGGGCAAAATCTTGGATCATCAGAATCAGGTGCAAGCGCAAGCTGTGGAAAATTTATCACAAAGGCTTTCTAGTTTCTCCGTTAGGGACCAGATATCCAATTCCGATTCTCCTCAGGTAAACTTTCTCCTTTTCTTACTAGATTATACGCATATGTTTTTGTTTAGGGAATTGGAAATTCCTGCGCTATTTTGTATTTTTTGTTGTCTCTGTATGTATGGAATCTGACCTTTAATATCTTTTTTTTTTGGAGGGGGGTTGATGTGTTCATGTTTCATTTGAAAGTGAGACCAGAAGAGAGAGAGAGGAATAAGGGAATTATTCATGGATCATCTGCAAACATTAAATTAATATGTTACTTTATAGTTAAAATTATATTGATTTTTCCTTTGGGTCTGGATATAGTTTGGGGCTCCATGTTTGATTTTGTTTATGGTGCTTAATATTATTGACAGGATGATGAGGTCGGTGGTAGGAGGAGGAGTTGCGATACTACAGAGTATTCTGATTCTTTTTCCTCTGATAGTACTGCACGGTACTCTATAAATTCTTCTAGATTGTATCCTGAATTCCCCGAAAAACAATTGGAAAACCATAACGAAGATATGGAGTCTTCAGCTAATCTTCAGAAGCAGGGAAGGTACTTCTATTACGATACTCCACTGCAGGAAGATACTGGAGTGTGGATACCAGTTTCAGTTCCACCTATGTTAGAAGATGATCATAAAGAGTGGGCCAAAGGTTTTCACTCAAACGGTGGCTATTTTCCTGATGAGGACTTGGGGTGGAATCAATATGTAGGAGATGAAAGGGAATTGACTATGTGGGATGTGCTAGCAGAAATGTTACTTGTGGCTCGGGGAAAAGTGACTTCTTTGGCATCAGGAGATATTAATATGTGTAATTTTTCATGGATATCCAGCCGTGTACTACTTGAACAAGCTTGGAGAGAGATGGCACAAACTCTCACAGAGGCCAATTTTGGTAATGTGAAGGAACTATTAGAAGCCGAGCCCCCAAAGTGGTTAGCTGATAGTGCTGCTTCTTCTTGTATGCTTTGTGGTGTGAGGTTTCATCCCATCATGTGCTCTCGACATCACTGCCGGTTTTGTGGAGGAATATTTTGTGGTGAGTGCTCTAAAGGGAGGAGCTTGTTGCCATCAAAATTCCGAGTTTCTGACCCCCAAAGAGTATGTGATGTATGCTGTGTCCGACTCGAGTCTGTACAGCCTTATTTAATGGATCATGTAAGCAATGCTGCTCAGTTGCCAACCCATGACCTGACAGATCTGAGCACTTTGAGATCTTGGGTTAATTTTCCTTGGTGGCAGTCCATGGAATGTGAAATTTACAAGGCAACTAACACTATCAAGGCATATAATCAGGTATCGATTTCAATTGTTGAAGCAGCAAACATTTATGACTGGTGCTACTAATCATGGGATTTACATGAATAAAGAACTTTCTAATGCTGATCTGAACGAGAGAATCCAGTATTGTGAATGTGGAGACCTACTGCATTATTTTGTGCTAAAACTTACTTTATCCAGAATTTCACTTTTGCAGATTGGTTTTCTAAAGCCCGAGAAGTCAATTCCAGATGTCATTCTAAGAAAAGCAAAAGGCCTTGCAATTATCACTGTGGTTAGAGTGGGAGTGGTGGTTACGTATAACATTGGAACAGGACTTGTGATTGCACGAAGGGAAGATGGTTCATGGTCTGCTCCATCTGCTGTGTCCACCTTTGGTGTAGGGTGGGGAGCTCAGGTGAAGTAACCATTCTGTAACAATATTGGCCAAACACTGCAATTACCAATAGCTTTGCTTTTGAATGACTGTGGATCAATTGCGAAAATCTGTTACTATATGCTGTGCATACTGTTTCCAGTCAACTGTAACACCATAACATTTACTTTGTTTAGGCTCTAGAATTACATAGTAATATCCAATAAGTTTATTGAAATATATATTTCACAATAGCTAAATTTCCGCAAAGATATTATTCCATTGACTCCTCAACTGTACCAAGCACTGGTTCTGACTTCCTACTCGATACAAATGTAGGACATTTCAAGGTTTTACTGATATTTATTTATTTCTATACATTCTGAAGTGTTGTCTTGTTTTGTTTACTGCACAGGCCGGAGGAGAATTGACAGACTTCATTATTGTCTTGAGAACAGATGATGCTGTCAAGACATTTAGTGGCAATATGCATGTTTCACTTGGAGCTGGTTTGAGTGCTGCAGTAGGCATTGTTGGTAGATCAGTTGAAGCTGATGTTCGAGCTGGTGATGGTGGTTATGCTGCTTGCTATACCTACAGCTGCAGTAAAGGTATGCTATTTCTGATCATGTAGTGTTGTACTGAAAGCCTTGGTTCCTTTAACTGTATGCAACTGGATCTTGTCTTTCGTTATTCTATGTAAAATTTTCTTAGTCTGGTAAGTTTGACTTTCAATATAATCTGCAGTCTTTTCCTATAGAAATACGGTTCTTGTTTTCATCAACTTCATATGAATATTTATATTTGAATTGGAATAACTGTAAACTATAGCAATGCTGTTTGTGAAAACTTTAGTTACTGAAGATGCTATCATTGTCGTAATTTTCTGTGTATTGGTTTGTTGATAAAATTCGTCGGTAGATATGTGTGCTGCTAATGTTCCTCTCTTAAGTGAGCAATTAGGCAGAAGGTTTTCTTAAGGGTAGCCCATTTGGCATTGACGTGCCCAACTTCTTAATTAATTGGTTACTTTGCAACAGAAAACAGGAGAGCGAATCAACAAGGATTCCTCCCTTCTATTTTTCTTTCTTACCTCTTCACATATTCTTTAGGTTTTTGTCACCACATGATGGCTAAAGTTGACTTCAGTATGAAACCCTTGGAAGGCTCATTGGGACCCGATTGTTTCTCACTTAACACTACCCACTGAAACTTGTATTTTAGCGATTACAAGCATGCATGCTGCCAGTGAATCTCCAAAAACCAGATTCGCTCGTAAACTTCTTAGGTTGATGTTATGTAGTTAATATTTATGTAACCTTTATACCTAGAATCGAATGAACTTGATGGTTCTCTGTTTCATTTGGAGGTTTTGCTTAGGTGACTTGACTGGAGTCTATTTTGTTTTAGTTTTATAGTATAGTGTTTGACGACAATATTACTACATGCAGGTGCATTTGTTGGATGTTCACTTGAAGGGAGTATGGTGACTACTCGCACGCAAGAAAATTCCCGTTTCTATGGCAGCCAGTCTATAGCTGCAACAGACATACTTGGCTCGTTGCCTAGGCCACCTGCTGCTGCCATTCTCTACCGTGCACTTGCTGATCTCTATTCCAAGGTTGATGGATGATTCAATGCTTCAACATCATTCCTTTCGCTCACTGGACATTGCCATTAAGTACATATTTTGTACAGCTTCTAAGTCACACTCACTGTAAACCATCGCGTCATTATTTATCTTGTAAATATATATGCAGATGTGATATTTTACACTTTGTTGATCAAGATGGAGGGATTGGTGACCTGCTTTATGTTTAATTTTATTTTGCTAGAATTGCCTTTGATGATTTTTTAGCCTTGACTTCCTCAACCATATTAATAACAAGGTTTATCAACTATTTATATTTTTTATTTTAATTAACAACTGAAAATATTTGGCTAATAAATTTCATAATGTAACCTATTGAACATTGACTTGATGATATTAATAATTGTTTCAAGGTAATGTTACTTCTATATATAAAAAATGACAGTGATACGCATTCATTTTCTTTCGAAAGGCACTCATCATACATATTTTCTTTCTTTTTGTCACACCATATCTTTTATAAAACCATTTCTTTTTTCTCTTTATATGTACATGGGGTGCATGAACAATTTTTCTGGAAATAAAAAACCGCATGACTAGACGAAGAGAGTTGCATGAAAAGATCCGGAATGGTACTTGTTCGTTTAACAAAACCAGATGACTAATTAAAAATGTTTGGTTTGAATACCTAAAAGCCCTATCATCGATGGCTAATTCTTGTATATCACGATAATTTTTATTTTTTTAATTTTAGACTCAAATATAGCGATAATTATGTAGTCTTTTTAAGAATGACAGTTGATTCTTTTAATTCTTGATTTCCTAAAAATAAAAATCTATTTTCTGGATTATCTTCAATAATATTTCTTGAAAATGATGTTCATGTTTAATTAACAGAAGAATGCAATTCAAATAATTTTAAATAAAGTTGAATTAGTTGATATTTATGTATATTTAAATTCATCAAGTATTAGAATTTTTATTCATATTTGAGTTTAGAGAAAATATAAAATGTGCTTTAATTCATGCACATCTGTGTCCAATGGTGGTTATTTTAAACAATCCATACAAATATACAGTGTATGATTACAACCTTGAAAAAGTAACGTAACATAATAAATGTACACAAGAAAAATAATTTACGGTTGAAGAAAAAAAAATGTGAAGAAAATAAAAAAGGGTTGGGGAGAGGGCACAGTAGTCAAATGTCCCACAGTTTCTTTCTCCTTTTGACCAACTTAAGCAGAAAGCGAGGAATGATCTTCTTAAGGTTCCTAATGACGCTACGAGTACATCCTTTGATGGCCATGAATAGAGGAAACTGCACCAATGCAAATATGCATACAGGGAAGAATGCTGCACAATATGTCAAAGTTGAAGTCCACGTGTTCCCCTCTAACTTGATGTTGATCAAAATTGTGGCGCTGAATGCCAGCATTGTTGTGGCCATGGAGAAGAACAACAAGGCAAAACCTGCCATCAATTTTCGAGGGAGAGACTTTCGAAAATCCCACATCTCGCAGGGTGATGTGAGGATTGAGAGGAACATAATCACAGAAGCCAGAGAACCTACAAGAGCCACAATATCCATGATTGTGAAGACCAAGAATATGGGGTGATGAAGGAATCTAGGGATGCCATCGTCATCTGTGCCTCCAGGGACAGTGTATGCTGCTGCAAAGACAACAGTGGCAACAAGAACAGCTACTGCAGAACATGATTGAGCAGTTTCTTTTATCCATTCACGAGCATCCTTAAGGAGTGATGCATGCTTTTTCACAAAAAGTTCCTTTGCTGTTTGGTTCTTTAAGTTTTTGTGAACGGTATAATGATAAGGGAGTCTCTTTTCTATGCGCTGCATTATTATGATGAGTGCACACAGTAAATAATTAGAGATACAATAATTTCTGATTATGAGAAATTGAAAAGGATACTTACATCGAACCAATGCAACTCCTCTTGCAGCTGCATAGCATAACCAGGTTGGGAACCCCCTTGAAATTGTGCAGTGTAATGAAGGACAGTGTTATTGTCCTTGTCTATTTTTCCAGCAAGACTTCTCACCATTTTCAGTTTCTTTAAGATTCGATAGATTTCCTTCTGGCGGTGTTTGACAGCCATGTATAATATGTTTTGCTCGTCTTCACTGACATGCTCAATTGAATGAGGATGAAAATGAATTATTAATTCAACAATCTCTGTAATTCCATTGCAAGCTGCCATAAGCAAGGGAGTATATGTAGTGGGTTTTCTTGCACCCTCTTGTTTCTTTTCTTCCTCTTGTTCACTTTTTTTCTCTTTCGGCTTTTCTTCATGTTGTGATCTTCCTGTCGAAACTGTTCTATCCCATGCTACAGTAGTATTTCGCCATGAATAGTCTTTTTTTGCTAGCAAGAACACCAGTTCCTTTGCTAAATTATGCATTTCCTTTTTCCTCCAAAGTTTATCAATCTCTTTCCATTCTAAACATCAACAAAGCAAACAAGTAAAACCCCCCGAAAGAAAAAATTAACTCCAAGCATATTATCTATAAATTTATCCATAAACAATTTTACCAATACAAAAATAATCATAAACTAAAAAATATAAAATTTAAATAAATTATGTAAGTTAACTTTTATAAATTAATTTTAAGTTTTAAAAAATGTTTTAATTTTTTTTTATAAAACAGTTTTTCCAAACATGTTCTAAATAGTTTTTTTTTTGGGAAAAATGTGTAATGCACCTTTGGCTAGAAGCTTCCACATGGAATACCATAGCAGGGAAAAAACTGCAGTTGACCAAGCTGCAAAAAATATACATTATAGAAACAACATTAAATGAGTTAATTATAGTGTGCTAAAAAATTTCTTACAAAACTAATCTTATATACATATTTATCCAAAGATGTTATTTATGTTTTAACATAACAATTGGATACCTGAGAGATTCCTTTGAGTTCTAGGTGATTCAGTTTTCCCTTTCTTGTGATTTTCCAGTTTTTGTCCTTCTCTCATGCTCTCCTCATGCTGCGTTTGAGTTGAAGATGCTGCATTTATGTTGTATCTCCCACTTTCCAAATCTTCCCTTTTTGTAGTGTATCCATTACTTTGAGAGTAGTATTTGTAATCTTGAAATGTAGGAAGCACTGTGTCACCACCATATTGCAACTATTAGCACAACTTGCTATATAACTTCAACTAGGACTTTATTCATTATCTCAATTCCAACACACTTAATTTTTTAATCAATAATAATGAATATATGCAAAAAAAAAAAGAAGAAGCAACATAGAATATAACAATATATTTTGGATGCATATGCATGTCTGTAATTGAAAAGGTAAATTGTATATGGATGGAGAAGACATACAAAGGTATGTTAAATTTTTGAAAGGACCCATTTGGGTTTGACTTTTAAACATGGTGGGCATCTTTGCGAGCAATTGGAGAGTTGTGAGATCATTGTCTTCTTTTTGATCAGCGAGGTAGTCATAGCGTTTCAGAAGCCATAAAGCTGTGCCTGCATTGAAAAAGCCATGAACATGTTACCAACTTCATTTTATGGGTGGACATGATTGAAATGACGAGAGAGAGAGAGAGAGAGAGAGAGAGAGAGAGAGAGAGAGAGAGAGAGAGATGGACCAAAGAACTGATCAATGACAGCAGTGTGAAGAATGGACATCTTATCGGTTCGGTGAAAATGAATGTTGGGATCAAGTTGACGGTCTTGAAGGAAGAAGCTGAGCAAATCTGTCTTTCCAAGAGCAGCTGCTCTGTAAACTGGGGTTTCTCCCAAATTGTTCCTCATCTCTATCAATTGCAGATACTGCTCCGACCCAGCTTCCTCCTCGTGCTCCAGAATGCTCTTTGTCATCTCCACTTCCCCTGTGAAGGCCACTTCATGGAGTGGCGTGTTCCCCATGTCATCCTGCAACCTCAGCACACGTTTTATGTCACCCTCACCCACCCACTCGATCATTTCCCTGTACATTTCTGGGTTCCCACAGTGTGCTGCGTAGTGAAGAGCTGTGCTGTGGTGCAAATCGATTTGCTTATCCAACAGATCCTTGTGTTTGTTGAAAAATTTCCTGAAACCTTCCCAGTCATATCTCTTCGCCAATATGTATGGCCTTTTCATTTTTTCAATGTGCAAGGCTACTTGCCTTGTCACCTCTAATTTCTTTCTCACTGCCTGTTCCTCGTTCATCACTCCCTCATCGATCCTTCACTGCATCCAACCATTCGTCTCTCTCTCCTTATATCATGGAAAGGATTAATCCTTAACCCAGAAGCCACAATTTTCAGCATATGTGCTTTGCTTAATTAATTCACAAAGTGAATAAGCTTGCAAGAATAACTAAACTCAGAGGTTTCCCTTTCCTTTCCAACATTATGTATTCCCGTAATTCCTGGACTGGCTTTCTTAATACTCACATGCACAGACATATTCATGAAAGTTGAGATTCTTCTTAGCGATGAACTTGTTACAAATTTGAGAGCAACGTATTTGTTTTCAGTCACTTCAAAGAACTATAGATTCACACACTGTCACGCAAGTACAGCTAGATCAACTCTAATTTGTTCTCATATTGAATCATAAAAGATAAGTATATATTCTTACTTTTATAAACAAGTTTGGATCAATATTCTTGATTGAAGTCTATGGTTTGGAAAATGGATCTAGCATACATATTCATTTTCTATGAGTATTGTACTATGTCCAATCAAAATTGCTCTCAACCTATTAAAAAAGTTGATTTACTGAGTATTCAATATATTTATCATTTTCAATTTTATAACGAAACGAGACGATAGTGTTGTTGTCTCCACAGAGAACTTGAGCCCAGAGTTCAGACCCTTCCAACTGAGGCAAAATACTTTGTCCCAACTCACATTGTACATGGTTTGTCCCAACTACACTTTCCTGTTTTTCATTAAACTTTTCAGTGGCATGACATTCCACCTGTAACAAGTCTTGTCTCCACGAAACAATATAGTATATAGTAAGAAAAAGCAAGATAAGAGAAACATGTTATTTGTTTTAGTATAACGTTTAAGACTTTTTAATTGTACCAAATTGTTTCGAGTAATAAATCGGTAAGATCGGATATCGTATCCCAAGAGACTCGTGTGACACTAAACAATAGTATAATTACTTAACTAATTTAGACTAAAGAATGACTCCATTTAATGTGATTTCGGTGCAATAAAAAAATAAACATAGTTCACAAGTTGTAAATTGAACTTTTTGGATTAAAACACTTGGAAATGGAACGATTAAAGATGATATGGAATGAAAATGTTGGAAAATGATTTTACCTACTACACTCTCATGCAAATGCACATACTTCTTCTTCATTTAAATGTTCATGTCAACCTACTAAGTTACTCAAACTCAATCCCTTGGTAAAGAAAGCCTAGGCTTTTTCATTAAACTCCAATCCCTTGGAAACCTAACAAGTTTATTTGCATTAAGAAATGAGGTTTAAGACAACTAAAGGTCCAAACTCTATCCCTAGATACAATTTCCTTTAAGTGTTTAGTCCAGTTCAAGGTTCAAATAATATTTTCCAACATTAAGCAAACCAAATAATCATGTTATGGTTGATCAAGTCACAACAAGCTTTAAGTAAACGAAATAAACACTAACAATCAGTGAAAGAAGCTTGTATTCATTCAAGACAAATGCATTTACAAGAAAGTTTCATAGTTACATCATTCCCCAACAAAATGAACTTAGTTCTCCATTGTCATGGAGAGCTTGAGCTTACAATGGAAGAAAATGGAAGAGATGGAGACCCAAGAAAGATGAATAGAAAGCTCCCACTGCCCAAAACTAGCTCCCAAAGGTCCAAAATGGTGTTTTCGTGCTTCAGCCGCTAAGAAGCTCCCATCTTCGTTGAATGGTAGCTTTAAATAGGTATAGGGTGCCACATCAGCAAGTGTCGCTCAACCCCCTTTTCTGGGGTGCCTAGGCGCGAGAGTTGTGCAAAGAGTTGCGTGAAGACTAGTGTTCAGCCCCCTTCCTGGGGCGCCCAGGCGCGAGGGTTGCGAACCAAATGGGGCTCAACCCCCTTTTTTGGGGCGTGCAGGCGTGAGAATTTCCTTTGTGTGTCTTCTAAACAATTGCTTTTGCAGCTTTTCCCTGGGTTCTAGCTTTTGATGGTTTTGATACTCTTCCAATGCACACAATTTGCCTGCACAAATTTGAGGGAATTAGTGATGAAAACCCTTAAGTGTAACCTAAACTAAACTTATTCACAAAATTAGATAAAATAGAGGATTAAACAGGTTTCAAACTTCAAGAGAATTGATTTGATATAAAAATACATCACAAATGGTAAAAATTACCGTTATCATTAACTATACATGATCATGGTCCTATGATCAAAACTGTGAATATATTTGATGTTTATCATGCTAAAAGTAAATAAATACCACTGAGTAATAGATTTCTTCGACTTGGGGAATAGTTCATGCCTATTTTGATCATAAAATTGAATACCAGAAACTCGAAAACTAAGGTAAATTAGTGAGAGTGTTATAAACTAGACCTGTAAAATCAAATTATAAACTCTTAACATTTTATTTGGCATGAAGAATTATATCAAAATATTATTAAAGAATATAATAATTCAACATTATATTAAACTATTTATAAATATTATGCTATAAATAATTTTTATATACTATTGTTTTTATCGATCGTATTATATGTTATTTTTAAATAGTTTTTATATTTTTATAATAGTAATATATTTTTGTCAACTATTCTTTTGTTGATTATATTTATATTATTTTTTACGTAAACAAAAAGTCATTGGACTTGAAGTGAGGGAGGCTCAACAATTCAAAATAGATCACAGGCCGAAAAAAAGTGTTTCATCCAACACTTCCAACATTTCATTATGGAATTCTAAAAGTTTCATTTTTAACTTTATAACATTTCATCCTTATCTTGCATCTCCAACTTTTTCAAAAATTTCATTTTTAACTTTAAAAAAGACTTTTTTTTTTCTTCTTTTTCTTATTAAAAACACTTTACACCACCTTAATAATAATTAAATTTAAAATTTAAATATTATTTAACATAATTTTATATTTTAATAATTATTAAAATATGATTTATATTATAATATTAGTTATATTAAAAGTATAAAAATAAATAATTAAAATAAAAATAATAACAATAAAAATAAAATTATATTAAATAAAATATTTAATATATTTAAATATATTAAATTATATTAAAATACTAAAATAAATTAAATAATTATTAAAATTTAAATAAAAGATAAAATTTTAAAAACAATTATTTATTTAAAATCAAATAAAATAATATTAAATAAAATATTTAAATATATTTAAATTATATTAAAATATTAAATTAAATTAAATAATTATTAAAATGTAAATAAAAAATAAATTTTTAAAAACAATTATTCATTGGATATCCCGAACATTACTTATCGGATATCTATATTCGATTAACATATCTTTTCAAAATTTTGTTTTTTTAAACTTCAATAATTATTGAATTTAATTTAATATTTTAATAAAATTTAATATATTTAAATACGAAATATTATTTTTATTTTTATTATTATTATTATTATTGTTATTTTAGTTATTATTATTTTAATTCTTTTAATAAAATTATTATAAAAATATATAAATCATATGTTAATAATTATTAAAATAATAAATAGTATTATAATTTTTATTTAAATTCAATATTTGTTAAATTTTAAATAAAAAAGCAAAAGTATTAGCATATTTTATGGATTTTAATATCTGATAAACAAGTTTTTTAAATTTTGATTTTTATTTAAAATTTAATAATTACTTAATTTAATTTAATTTAATATTTTAATATATTAAATCAAATTTATTATTACTATTTATTTTTATTATTTTTACTTTTATTATTTTATTTTTAAGTTTTTAATATAACTATTATTATAATATAAATTATATTTTAATAATTATTAAAATATTAAATTATATTAAATAATATTTAAATTTTAAATTAAATTAAATTATTATTAAAATGGTGAAGAATGTTTTTAATAAAAAAGAAAATAAAATAAAAAAATATTTATTAAAATTAAGATGAAACTTTTAAAAAAGTTAGAAGTGTAAAATGAGATATTAAAAATTTAAAAATATAATTTTTAGAGGTGTATACGAGATTTTGGAAGTCTAGGATGAAACACTCGCCAAAAAAAATACTAAAGCCCAAAGATGACCCAACCCACTAATTTGTAGTGGTGGTGTCTGTGAAACGACGAGAGAAGAGAAAGGAAACACGGCAGAGTAATAAGATCGCTGGCTGTCCAGGAGAACGTAGAAAAGCAAAACGACGACCTGAGAAAGACACCGACCCGGATCTGTTTTCTTGCGATAGGACAACGCTTGCAAGAGAGAAAAACGGAATTGTAACCTTGGTGCGTTCTTCGCTGAATCGACTCTAAACTCGTTCGAATTTGCTCGACCTCACACCTACTTCCGAGTTAACTAGGTTTGAGGGTGTGGGAACGTAAATTCCTCCGAGTTTACGAGTTGACTCGCGATCTTGATATCCTGATAGCAACATGTGCAGATTCTCTAAACTGACGCTTAATTCTCTTGTGGTCACATAATTGAATATCTGAGTTTGTGTTGTTGAAAACTTGAAATTGTTTTGTATCTCTGTATTTCTGTTGTTTATGAATTTTGTAGGGTGAAGTGATGAATATTTTTTTTCTTATGCAGTACAACCTTCCTTGACTGCAAGAACTTCAGTCTTCAAGAATCTGCCAATTAATTGCAAGTCTTTTCATCCCTTCTTGTGTTAAAGTTTCTGGTTTTCCCATCAGATCCCAGTCTAATATGGTTCTTTTTTTTTCGGGTTAAAAATTTTAGGAGCAGATAGCTCTGGCAAGATATGGCTACTAGACGTGTTCGTTACTCCCCTCTTGCCACAGACGACGATGATGTTGCTATTAATAGACCATTTGACCCACGATTTGATTATACACCGAAGGCCTTGGATAAAGTTCCCTGGAAATCCATTGCCCTTGCACTCTTCTTGCTATTCCTTGGTACAGGACTTTTGTTTCTTTCATACTTTATCTTCACTGGTCATATGGGGGGAGAGCGTTCTCAAGCATATGGCCTTTTAGCCCTTGGCTTCCTTAGCTTTCTCCCAGGTATGTTGGATTCCTTGAATGTG